CGAGTAAAAAGAAATACCTCAAACTTCCATCAAAATGTAGTTCAACACCTTACCTAACAGTATGGAGTAAAAGTGAAAATACATGGATGGTATTACTTGCGACAATTTACTAACAAGGTACAGCGCCATAACTACAGCTTACCTTACGGGATAGTGCAAAATGAACATAAAGAAACACGGCGACTTCCGCGCCATAAAGTTTTGCACTCCGGTGTCCCGTAAGGGATGAAACAGCCGAAAACGCTCACTGCCATGTACAATACATAACACGTGACCATGGTGATCCGAAGCTTCGTTCTGCGCTCAACCACGTGACTGCTAAAGAAAAGTGAAAATGAGGCGCAAACCTCAGTGACCCCAATATACCACATACTGAAGACCCTTTAAGGTTCTGAGATATGCACCAGGCTGTGTATCCACACTTATATAAACTTGCAGTACAGTTTTTATGCACTCCAGCGTCCTCCGTTCCATGTGAGCGGGTATTCTCCAAAGCAGGAGAAGTGGTGAATAAAAAAACGTAACCAACTTAGCCCCTGCACTGTTGAACAAATACTGTTCCTGAATAAAAATCTGTAGACTAATGTCCCCTCTTCCGTTACACAAGCACCCCTTCCCAGTTAAGTCAATGGTTTCCCAGTCCACAAGAAGTCACATTAAATTTCACCAGGTCATTAATGTTCATGACACACTACAGACCATTAGAATTTTTGCCAATTTATAAATATTCAGATTCACTGCACTAAGTGTTATTTCCTTATTTGACCACTTGGTGTCACTAATGGTCACCATTTCGGAAGGCTTTGAGTACTGAACCATTTTTCGACACACTTGAAAAGGAAGCTTCAGTGCTTTGAAAAGCTTTGTTTTACCATCACTATATCCTATAAAACTTAACAAACCACTAGTGAACTAAAGAGAGGCAGGGACTTAAATACAGAAGGGTAACAAGACTAACAAGGGACAGGTGAGATTAATGAACAAGGTTGGGAAACAGGTAACAGGTGAAAATAATTAACTCCAAAGAACTGAACAGGGAAACTAAGAACTAACCAAGGAAACAGGAAACACAGAATCTAACACTGGGGAATTACAGACAGGCAAAAACACACGCAGAGACACAAGGAACGGAACCAAAACCAAATACAAATCCAACACAGGAACTAGAAAAACTCATACAACTAAACACTAGGGAACAAAATACAAAAACAGAGGAGGTGGGATTCAATCACACGATGAAAGGGATTTGTAGCTAGCCACATGCTCAACACGTTGAGCCATGCAGCTGACAGGAAACAGTGGAAACACAAAGACTGACAGGAGGGACAGGATGGCCAGCGATGTCTGCTGGCCAAACAGGGAAGGGACACAAAAGACTGAGACAACAGGAGCTGACCCTGACAGAGAAAGAAAGTTATCAATAAATATCAAAAAATATATTAAATAAACAAGCATGCATTGAGATGTTTCCTCTATGATGACCCTTGACCCAAGGAAGCAGTTTAAAAGAACAAAAACTATTTTAGAATGTAATGTAAGAGTCCCAATAACACCAGTGACCAAAAAAATATATATTTTTTTAAAATAAAATATATTTTTAATTTAGTACAATGGTAATGATGAAAAATGGAACTTCTTTATACCATTTCATAAGTTATAGCTTTTAAAATATTCTTTTATATTAATAATGGTTTCTTAACCTTTCAAATTTTTATTGTTGTGTGATGAGCTGTTTTACAGAAAAAAAATAGAAAATCCAAACAAATGATGAGGAACATGTATTATTTATAAGATTGTAGTCATGTATCAGACAAGATCATTTTATCATAAGGATCAGTTTTTTTTGTCAAAGTTATGTTTCACTGTGAAACTGTACCATGAACAGTGTTAGTCATATTTAAAATGATGAAATCTTCACTATTTAAAAATCTTTCTTACGTCACCTCCTTTCACAATATGACTATTGCATGTGTACCCTTTATGATGTCACAATATAAACATAAAAATGCACCAACTACATTTCAAAGATTAGTGAACACTGTATTAGCTAATGTTCCGAATTGTTGGGCATATTTGAATGACTTAGAGTCCACAGATTGACCTGGTCCTATAAAGCCTTTGAGGACAGTCTTTTATTGTCTTCAGGTCAACAGTTGCCTTCTTTGGAGGTTTTTCATCACTTGGGGAGCTGTCCTCAATGGCACGGACCATGGCTGCCTTCTCTTGGTTAGATGTATGATCATCAAACAGCGACAGGTCAACTAGTTCTTCTGAAAGGTACCACAGACGTGAAGCGAACTTGCCCACTGAAACTGTTTGAGCTGCCTCTAAATGTTTAACAATTTACCTGAAATTTGGCAGGAAACATTTTCTCATTTAACCTAACAAATGAGGAGGGTGAGAGACGACGATTTCATCAAAAATAAGTGCCACCCTATTAATCACCAATCATGTACAGATGTTTACAAATGAAATTTACTGCCCTAAACAGGAAGTGTCCCTACATGCACAGAAATTCAATGACATTATGCAGTATCATATCTGGATTAGTCAACTTCATATCATTCTACATATAATAGTAACATTTTTCTTGATGATTTTTTAGAATTTTGCTGGAAAAAAAATTATTGTAAAGTGTTCAGTGCATTTACATAGAATTCAGTTCATCTGCAAAATATAGCTATACATTTAGTCAGTGGTGGGTAGATCTCAGCCACCTATTAGCTACTATCCTACTTTGTATATTCTTTGCTTCTTAAAATAATCATAGTAAATTACAAATGTCCTTGTCGTAAGTGGACCACAAACAAATTAAGATGCTAAGGTTAACTTTTGTGTTTGTCTTTAAAAAAGAAAATATGTTAATTGTTATCATTTAGCATTACAGTGTGCACAGGGTATTTGCTGCTTATCCTGTCCATCTGCTCTCACAAACACAGCCTTGATAACACAGCTGTGAGTGTTGAGGAGCAGCTGGGATGTGTTATTCCAGGTGAGTCCCTCTACCCTGACGGCAGGTCTCCTTGGGGAAACCAGAGCACTGAGAAGGATAATAGTCTGATTCTAGTAGCCGGGCATTCATACAGATACATGTACTCTTAATGTGCAAACTGCAGGGAATGACAGGCTGAGAATAAAGCTGCCATTTCTATGGCTGCACAAGGCAAAGTCAGTTGGCAAACATCCAGTTTTTCCTTAAAGTCAAGTTTTCTTTCTCTCATTAAAGAATACTGCACCGAGAGCCGATGCTGAACCACATTTGTAATTAGCAGTGAGGTATTTACAGAGACAGGCATCAGAGCTTAAACACAACGTGACACCACAAACATGCTGGAGCTGAAGATTGTGAGCAGTGAGGATTTATTCAGAATGCATGATAACTCTATACATTTTAACAATGCAAACAGCAAGCAAAGGTAATTCAGATAATCATCAAACAATGTACAAATATTCACATAGGAAGTTTCTGAAATACTGTCCCGAAACAGTTCACTTAATAACTTTCCAGTAAAACATTGTTTCGATAAGCAGAGTCTCGTCAGTTTAACAGCAGCATAGTATCCAGAGTTCAGTTCAGAAGAAACAAGATGACATGAAAGACTCTGTATTGATCTTCATAGTTGACCTTATCCTCAGGTGACTGACTATAGAAACAACATACAGTAATGGTCCGTCCCAGGGTGCTGCTCTGTAGATGAACATCTGCTTATATGCATGTGCAGCTGGTCCTAGAAAAGCTTATCTGCTACCCAGCAAAGTCCCTCAACTCTTCAGATAGTTAACTATAAAAGATCATCAATAACCTGATGACTGCTAACAAGAGTAACTTGTTGATCCAACAAGACCTGGTAAACTTGGGACTGCAGGTAAAAATCTAAAATTAAACGCTATAGATCCTTCAGACTTCTGTGTTCTTCACTCCCAGTAATACTTCCTCTGTGTTTGGTTCACTGTGATCAGCAGGTGACAATGCCTCCATCTCCTGATTGTCATGTGATCCCTGCAAAAGTGTGTAGGTAATATAGTTAATATTCTTTCTTCATCAAACTAATAATGTAGTCACTATGAAATGGAAGTTATGTACTAGGCTAGAGGACTAGTTTTATAGTGAATCCCAACAATTACAAAAAATACTTTAAACCCCCTTGCGTGCAGACTTTAAAAAAGCTAACTTCCTTATTTCTTTGAAATACACTGTAAAAACTGACAGGTAACAGTGTCCTTGGATACAAAGTGCAGTAAATGACAGGAACGCTGAGAATCACATAGATCTTGTTCCTCTGTTTACCTCCTCTGTGTTTGGTCCTTTGGAATCAGTGGGGGACAATGTTTCAGTCTCCTCATTGTCATGTGATTCCTACAGAATGGGTGTTAACTGATTAATTATATATGTACAGGTGTTAAACCTGT